AGGCTGCACTTTGGGTTAGACCTTTGAAGCCTCACCAGGTAACAAAAAGTCATGTGGGCAGAAAGGAGCATTCAGCGTTTGAGCTATGACCTCAAGGAAAGAGAAGACTTTATGAGATTGCCTGACCAAACTGGACTGCAGCTACCAGCAGTGCTAGGTTAATGGTTGGACTTGATCTTACAGGTCTTTTCCAACCTAAACAATCCTATAATTCTACCCAAGTTATAAAGGTATTGCAGTGTGGAATGACCCAGGTATTACACTCATCTGTCATTTAATTTCAAAAGTGATACAATAGTCCTGTTTTTCTGTCATAATCTGTTCTGGCTCCCAGCACTTTTCATCTGCAGTTACCAGACTAATACCCACAGTATAGGGGTTCACAGTGGGTTGCCACACAGAATTTAATGCCACCTCCAAACCAGAGGTACCAGTGCCCCTACTGCGGCTGGGAAGAAAGAGGGGCTTCTATCAGAAAAAGTACATAGATGTTTCTAACTAGCATCATCAGTCCTATGTGTCTGCCATCTCAATGTTAAGGCCCTTGGAGATGAAATCAGAGAAAGAACAAGCGCCAAAGAGAAAATGAATCAAATGAGACCTTAGTGAGCCATTTTGCTAACTGGCACAAGACTTGCTTGGCATGCAAGGCTCCACAAGACATTACTGCTCAGAGATCTCACTAAAAGTAGTGGGCTCCTCTCACTTTAGCCTCTCTAGAATAATTGCTCTGTATCACCATTAGGCAGAGAGCTGCCTTCTTACAAATAGCTGCTCTTTCACATCCAGAAAAGACAGATGTGAGACCCCATCCAGATCACTCATGCTCTGTTTTCAGTCTCTGTGTTTGTCTGTGTTTGCCCTTCTGGAGCAACTCTTGTGGTGCTGTTTTCTCATTGCCTTGACTCTGTTCTCTTACACTGCTTCTGCTAGAAAAGATGTGGGGAACTTCTCAGATCAGATATGGTACAGAGAAAGTATGCTGCCCCCAGTGTATTAAGTACAAGGCAGTCCAGTCATCTGGAGAGTGCAGATAAGCCTATGAATTCATTTCACAGAAGGCTATTTTGCCCTTTGACTTCAAACAGACCAAAACTTATTTGAAGACATGGGAATAATCACTTGCATGGGAAGAGCTAAAACTACATTGGCAGCTAACAACAGCCAACCCTATCTTTTTGACTATGCAACATCTTTCAACTCCTTAAAGGATAGGTGGGCATGTGCTAAACATGTTGAGAGGGCGAATACCAGAAAAACACAAATCAAGACTGAAGTCAGGTTTAACAAATTAGCAAGTGAGGGAAGATGCCAATAACTGGCTAAGACATTTCCTGTTTCATGGTGAGGACCTACAGCAAGGTCAAAAGAGCTAACAACTAGGAAGGATGAGTTTGCCTTGGCAAATAGACTCTTTGCAGAATGTCACCTGGCAAGGATCCCACGGTGTTGACAGACTGACGTGGCTCATCATCAAATCCCTAGCATTTGCTTGTCCCTGGGAATCTCCCACTCTTTGCTCTAGAAAATATGGAAGGAAAAATGTCTCTTCCCACTGTTCCTGATCTGAACACTGGATAAACCTCACAACAGTACGCAAGGCAGTTCCATGAAGTCTGGCAAATACACTTGCCAAGAGCACAGATCTGTATATTCAAACTATGGTTCCTGGAGAACTTTAGTGCTGAAGATGTACAAACATCTTCAGTGGTAATAACAGTCTATCCTTAAAACAATCCCATGTCCATCATTTTCAAGGACATAAAAATCCCCTCAGCATGTAATAATGTTAACACTAATGCTTATAAATAAAGAAGAAGAAAGCACTGAAATGTCAGACTGAGAATGATAATAAACGGACATTAGTTATTAACAAGGTGTCGTGGTTTAAACCCAGTCAGTTAATTCATTCGCTCACTTCCCCCCCTTTCTTGCCCTCCCCCTGCTCCCGGAGGGACAGAGAGGAGAATCGAAAAGAATGCAACTCCCATGGGTTGAGATAAGAACAGTTTAGTAACTAAGGTATAACACAGATCACTACTGCTACCACCAATGATAATAATGATAAAGGAAATAACAAGGGAAGAGAATACAACACCTCAGCACCAGCTGACCGATAACTCGCCCCCCTCAGCCCGACCAAGCTCCGACCGATACCTCCTCCAACCCTGCAGTCTCCCAGCCCTTCCGGCTAACTCCCAGTTACATCCTGGGCATGACGTGCTGTGGTATGGAATACCTCTTTGGTCAGTTTGGGTCAGGTGTCCTGTCTCTGCTTCCTCCCGGCTTCCCCTCCTCCCTGGCAGAGCATGAGGCTCACAAAGTCCTTGGCCAAACCAAAACATCCTTGTTATCAGCTCTGTTCCTGAGCCGAAAGTCAAAACACTGCACTGCACCAGCTACCAAGAAGGAGAAAAAATGACTGCTACTGCTGAACCCAGGACACAAGGTAATAAAGCCTTCAATGGGATTAGGAAAAGAAAAACAGCACAACCTCTTTCAGCTGATTACTTAGCTACTTTTAATGATATTAAAAATACAAAAAGAAAGGAATAATACTAATAACGATAAAAACATTCCTCTAACACATGAGCAGACTGCCAGGGCAGTCAGGAGGCAGCATAGGAAGTCAGACACAGGCTCAAGAGTGTGCCAAGCTGAGTAGGTTCAAGTGAATTAGAAGCAACTCAGAACAGCTGCAAATTCCCCTTCAGATGGAGCTATGCCAAAGCCATACCTGCCTGTTTAATAGAAGACCCTCCAATAACACAGAGGAGTATGAGCAGCCATACGACAATCTGGAAAGGAAGCTTCATCAAAAGGAAAATTTGATCCTCAGAATTATAAAAACAAATGTTTCCAGTAAAGAAATACCAGTGTACTGAAAAGGTTGAAATAACGCAAAGAAGAGAATGGTCCCAAATGTAGTATTTGTGTGTGAATACACAATTTAAATGTCACCATTAAATATTTCAATGTGGTATACTTAAAAAAACAACCAGGGCTGTAAAAGAGGGTGGATTTTGTGTAGAAAATATTTATGGAGAGAAGGGGAATTAAGTGAACATATATATGAAAACAAATGGTACAGCTGGAAGGAAAAAAGAGACTGCAGCAGCCAAAAGGCAAACTTGACTCCCTACTCCAAGCTGAACAGCTAACATAGAATAAAACCAACAAATTCCACTACCCCACAAAAGCCATACACTGGCCTTGATCTCAGCCATCTACCATTAACTCTCATGTACTTACCCTAAGGGACAACTACTGACAGAGGGGAAACCACAGTCCAGCACTCAGACCTCAGCTCAATGACATAACTGAAAGTGGAGGCAAGAAGTTTCCTCCTTGTGCAGTAAATTGCAGAGCACTGACTAAACACCCTCACTGAGAGTCCCTCACCACAGTGACATCTCCCTTATTTCTGTGCAGTTCACCAGGGCCTATTATTGCTTTGTTTTGTTTGATGTTCTCCCTATGTTGAGAGAAAGCATGAAGAGGGAAAAGAAAAAAGAGAAATCTAACTGTCTTTCAAGCTTCCTAATCATCTTCCTCAAAATGCTCCATGCATCAGCACTGATTTCATTATCTGCCTGCTGCTAGAGATTTTATTTAAATAATAACACACAGGGAAGAAAGGATTTAACCTGACCCCCTTGAACTGATGGGGGATGAATACTACACAGAGCTGACAATGAAAAGCCTGTTTCCTTTCTCAGACTAACCCAAAGACTGTGCAAAATTCCCCTCTATCCAAGCCCCTAATGTTTTAAATTGGGCTATTAAAAGCTTTTTCCTTTTTTAGGGGCCTGGGTTGAGGCAATCAGTGTATCATCAATGAATGAGGACTGATAAAATGAACCATCGCAAACCATAGCTGTGGGTAGAGTGACTTGCAGAGGCAGAACAATACAGAAAAAATGAGTAAATTAATACCAGTGTTCTATTCAGCTACAGAAGAGAATGAAAAACAGTAGGGTTCACATTTTTCCCCCACTGCAGCATTCAACCTGAGACTTTGGGTTATTACATATTATAGATCAAGTAGGATAATAAACAAAAAGTTTAGTGGGAAGCATGGAAGGATATCATTAAGTAATGAGTAAAAATACCAGGAACAGAAAGAAAAAAGAATTCCAGAGCACAATACAGTCAGGACCTTTTAACAGGCACAAGTGTGGGATCCCATCTAGTCGAAGGAGCAATCCAAGGTAACTCAAATGATGTCTGTCCTAGACTGTGTACACTATTTTTCCCACAGGAGTTGTGTCTGGGATGATCCCCATAGTTCGAATGGCATCTCTGGATTTTGACCATCACAGGCTCCTGCAGAGTCATTTACCTCTCCAAGAGTGATTAACATATAATCCTGATATTTTATTTTGGGAAATAGGCCATCTCTTCCCTTCCTGAGACCACGCACAGCAGCCTATTTCCAAAAAAACATATTTACACATTTATGCAGCACAAGCGGGACGCAAAGAGAGCAAACCAGGCCAAATTAAGAAAGGGAAACCTAACCCCATCACTCTCTTTACTGAGAACCTTCTCTTTTCAAAATCTAAAACAACTGAATTCAATTATCCTAGAAAATTTCTACCAACTGTTCCCGAATTCTAATTCCCTGATATCACAGAGAACCAAGCTACACCCAACAGTTCCACAATAACTAAATTCGCTGCCAAACTCTTCCTGCCCCATTCTAAATGCCAGCTTCCTCACAGTTCCCAACCACACTTCCTGACAATGCCACAAATTTTCATCATTCATAACCATCCTTCTGCATTTGCTGGACCAAGATGGCTGCATGTGATGGTAAAACTGGCTAAAGTAAGCATCTCTTCTCTTCCTCTCACCTACAACTAAGCAAGGAACACAAGAATCCCACCTTCACTCCTTATACTGCTGCCACATCATTAGTCCCAGTGGGCACAAGGTAGTTCTAGTTGCCTATATTCCTGAGGTCAACATGAAAAAAGGTCACTGCGTGCCCAGCTTACCTGATCCTCAGAGAGCTGAGATATGTGATTCACAGCAGCGTAAGACTCTATCTTCGGGTTGAAGTGGTTGATGATGGCTCTGAAACGAAGGAGGGAAAATTTCAGAGGTCTTGGGAACAGTTCAAGGATGCAGCAGAAATTCCCCACCAGCTTGAGTCAGTGCACATGGAGCCACAGTCCTGCAAGAAGTCATTCCTCCCTCTTCACATGGTATCCCTTGCTCTGCTGAAGGCATGCTCCCTGCTGAGAGGCCAATACAGATTCAGTCACAAGCTGACAGGAAATTGCAAGCATGGGCACTGCCCTATGCATGGGTGCTTTCATCCCAGCAGATATGGGGCTGTGCTCACTGTTCTGGCAGAGGGAATCACTGCCTTGCTGGGAACAGACTGCAAACTGGTCAGTGTTCCAGCAAAGTACTGCAAACCTGGCCATTGCTGTCCCATCTTGCTCAGAAACTGCATCTCCTCATCCCTTCCAAAATCACTATCACCTGACATTTTGCTCTGTGGAATTTTGTTTTTGATGCACTGTAGCTGATGGTTTATTGCTTTGGATCTCCACTGTTTAAAATGCAGCTGGCTCTTACTTGTAGTCATCCATCACTACAGCCATTACTTTGACTTCCCATAAAAACTTTAGCCCTCAGCCCCAATTTAGAGCACTTGAGATAACTTATGTCAGTGTCCCAAACACAGCAGCAGAAACACTGATCACTCCTACTTCTCTTCCTCATGTCTCTGACTGCTTCCACCAACACTCCTTCCCTTCTAGGCGGATCTAGATGCAGGTGCGCGAAATCTAAAATTGAAAGTAATAATTGGAAAAAGTAAATCAAACTGCAACTGGAATATTTCCTCAGCCTCTTCTCTGCTTGCCAGGTGCAGATGGGAAGACAAACGGCAAGACAGTAACATCTCCCTGGGCTAGAGTTTGCAACTGGTCTAGTTGGGATATTACTCATGAGACCTACTGCTGAGGTAAATGCTCATCGTGGGAACAGCCCATGTCATTGCTCGGCACAGATGTGCGCTGACTGTGCCTAGAGAACACTTGCTTAGCCAAATTGCGGCACAGCAGCAGTCAGGGCTTTCACTCTCATATTCATCAGCATGAAAATTCCCTCCAGCTCTCTCTGTTGCACTCTAATGGGTTCCCTCCTCCCCATACCTCCCCCTTCAGAAGGGCTTTCAGCTGCTTTTTCCAGACCTCATCACAGCTAAGAGCTGGTACCTGAGTCCAGGAATAAGTGATATTCAGTAGTGCCAATCAGAGGAAAGAAAACCTTCCTGGAAGCATTCTTACTTCTTTAAATACACAGATAAAGAAAAACAACAACAACAACAAAAAAACCCTAAACCCAAAAAACCCACCAAACCTAAACAGAATCTGCAGATTCACTTCAACATTCCCAGCCACACACCTCATCAACACACCAGATGCAGTCCACGCACAGGGCATTCATTCCAGCAACTGCTCCTGCAGCATCACTATGTAACTTAGCACAGTGGGGCTTCTGCAGTCTCGCCAGCCTTGACAGTTACATCAGTAAAGCAAATTCAGCAGGACCCCTGCCAAACTTCCCATACCACTCCTGCCTCTAGAGGAGGGCAAGCCAGAAGGTAGAGACATGCCCAGGCTCTTCCCATTTCAATCCAACCAGAGAAGCAGCTCCTATGAGTCACAATCACACTCTCCATTACCCAGGCTCTTGAACACTGTGGCTTTCAAGTTCCATGTTTCATGCCTGGCTGGAGTTATATGCTCCTACAGGACACACTGCAAGCTATTGAAAGAAAAGGGAACACAGACTTACAACAACTTAACTTCTGGCTTGACAGAAGGTTTGGCAGCTCAGAGGGGTTCAGTGCACTCACATGGTTCCAACATTTACCAGGGAACAGATTTAGCGTTTATTTGTATCCACTGCTGTGAAGCACTTCAGCACGGGCTGCCTGCTCACAAGCCCCTGCTCGGATCTGAGCTAGCGGAGCGGCACCTGCAATCACAGCTGGGATTCACCCAGGGAAAGCAAAACCAGCAACCAGCTGCCACTGCAGTAAGAATCAACAGACATTAAGGAAGAGAAAGAACTGAAGTCTCCTTCCTCATTTCCCTCAAGGCAAATGGACAGCTCCTCAGTGACTAGAGGAAGAAGTTCAGCTGCTTAATTTGTTTCAAGATTGCTTTTTCACTATGAAGAATTCATTCCCAACCTGACTTTTTGCAGAGCTGTTCTGAACCTGTAGGCAGCCTGGGGCAGAAGGGCAAAAAGAGTTCGGATTCAATCCTGGCTCTGTGTAACCTGATTCTTACTGCCCACCACACACTGCCAAGGACATACTCTGCACATGGTACAACCCTTCCCCATATATCTGCTATGAGAAATTCTAACCCTACCCCACCTAAGCTGCTATTGCACAGCAGCACCTTTCTACATCGGCTCCTCCGATATGCCTCTGTTATTCTTCCATCTGTCAAAATCCACCTTGTCCCTGGGGCATACTTTTAAGCAACTGGCCTCCTGAACTATTGAGTAACAGCTGGAATTTCACTTTGCAAAGCTGCCACTCCACAGGCAGCTTTCCTGGAAACAACATGGGCGGGAGTTTTTAAGCACAGTCTCCCCCTTACGGACAATATAATAGCGGCTTTGCCATCATTTGTTCACACTCCAGCATGCAACAACTGTGCCTTGGCAATGTTTTGTTTTAATACTGTGATTGCCTTGATTATTGGGATATCAGCCAGTACCTGTGTGGAGGGGGAAGGCAGCAGTTGGAGTGCTGGGAAAAGACTTGAGATGTGCTGTGCCCTACCGAGATCTTCATATCAATCATAAAAAACAAAACAAACCCAACCTTGTGTTTGGTATTCATGAAGCACTAGCACCTTCCGTGCCTTTGTAAAGCAAGGAGATGGTAAAGTGGCAACTGAAAGATAAAACACCGCAGCTCCCCAGCTGGCCTTAGATAGTGTGTACACCTACATATCTCTACACCTCAAAGTCCCTCTCCGGGGCTAGCTGCCATTTGTCATACACATTTTCTGAGCATTTTGGGGACTGAGAGATGCTTGGAGAGATTTCACTTCAGCAACACTGCCTCCTCTGACAGATCTGCAGTTCAGCAGTCGAATGACAAGAGGAGACTGTCACCAGACAAGGGGAGGATGCTGAACAGGCAGAAGGTGAAACAATGGCTCAGAAATTAAAGAACTGGCTCCCAGTGGCTTGTATCGAGGTTAATGCTTTGTGCTCTAAAGCAGACACAAGCAATTCCCACATTCTTTATCCACCAAGAGTCATTTACACACCAGCCATACCAGTGCTCTCAAAAAAAAAAAAAACCACATCTCCCATCAGTTCTTCAGACTACCTACACACCATGATGCCAGAAGCCACATAGAGACATATATGAATGAAGCTCTCTATGCTCCTTAGGATGAAACACCTTAGGACACTTTCATTTATGTATTTGTTGCATGTTTACTGCATACATTTATTTCTTTGTGAAGAAGAGAATGATTGCAGGAAAAATATGAAGTGTTCCATCCTGATTTAGGAACCAAAGCGCCAAAAGATCATTTATTTGTACTAGCTGTATTAATCCAGTTATTACACAGTGAAAGCGGGTTCCACTGAAACAGGTATTGTACAAACACAGAGTTGCAGAAAGGCTTTGCCCAGAGAGCTAATGATCTCAAGTGCAAGAGAACGAAGAAAGCTCAGAAAAGTGGAGTGGCAACAGAAAATCTAACAGTGCTGTTACTGAGTGTCATGAAAGACTTCAGTTAGATAAACCAAGGACAGGAAAAACACAGAGAAAGAATACTGCAGGAAGAAGTACAGAGATAGGAAAAAACAGACAGAAGGGCAGATAGGATTGAGAAAAACAGGTGAAAAGGCCGCAGGACAGAGATGTACACAGCAACAGCACCTGATCCCAGGGCAGTCTGTCCTCTGCAAACTGGAAATCTCTGACCGGTGGAAAGTTTCTACTCTGGCTGTTCTTGAGGCTGCAACAATTGGGCAGTATTGAACTGACTGTTATTAGCCCTTTCTCCCTCAGAAACACATGGGCTGGAAGGTAAGAAGTGGGGAATCTCTATGTGGGCCCTATTAAGCTTTTTTTTCCCCAAAAAAATGGAAACATCCCACTGCAGCTCTCACCTTCAGTTGTGGAGAGAGAAGGTATACCTAGAGGTAAGCTGCATTTTCACCCTCATCATCTTCACTGCAACAGGGCTTGCTTCTGCAGTGACTCTCCAGCCAGTAGGTGATGTTTAAAAAGCTTTTTCTATAGTCTTTTAAAGCTGTGTAGAGTTACTCCTTGACAAACAGAAACAACCAGTGATGTCCTTCAGAGAAGCCAAAGGACTGAAGAGGCAGAGCCTGCTGACAGGAAAGGGCTCCTATGAAAACTGGTATGGCATGCACAGTAATAAAAGAGTTAACCAATTCCTCAATTTAATTTGCCACTAGCAGTAATATCATATGTGAGAAATGAAACGCACCAGCAACACTGAGTTACTAGTCTCTCAATTATGAGCATCTTCAAGCCCACATGCACCCACTGTGGCAAGAAACACCACCCTGCCCACCTTAACTTCACAGCTGGTCTGGGAAGAGCTGGTCTTTCCCATGTGCAGGGAAACCAAAATCATTATGCTCAGGCAGGCAGCACTTCTTCAGCACGTTTTATCTGACCTCCAAACTCTCCCCATCAAGATATTGCAGATGAGCTGCCTAATATCCACCCTTGCTTGACAGCAGCAACACTTCCAGAGTCCCACGAGACAACACTGTCCTCTTCTCCTGAGAAGTGAAATGAAGCACTCTGGAGGTGCTGAAAGTAGGCTAAAGGAAAAACCAGAAGGCTGTGAAGCTTATTATAGACATGGGAATGCTGAGCAATCATTTATTGCATGAACCTGGTCTTTGCACCTCTTTACAGGTGCAGCATGCAATGCCTGGCATATAATATTCTTCTGGATGCCCAAACATTTCTTGTACAATAAAAGCAGCACCCCAAGCTCACTTCTTCCTACACCCTATTACAGTGGAATAGAGAAGCAGCA